AGCGACCAACAGTATCCACAGAAATCGAATTGTGAGGCTTTTGGGTACTTATAAACAGTTTACATTCTGAACCTCTCAATTTTTCAGTTCTATGAATATATTCCTTATATACATGCACTATACATAAATCTGTATCATTTGGATAAGCAGCAATAGAAATTTCATCTAAATGATGCCCTGGTCTTGATTGCTTCAGCAAGTCACCATATCTAATGATTAACATATTTTATCTCTTACAGAAATATTTCTAACATCTAAAAGATGTAAACCTTGTTTTCGCTGTCCAGATAATAAAGCTAATAACATTGCCAATTTCTTTGACAACTGAAACAAAGACAAATCCTGTTCAGGAGACAGTGTCTTAAGATATCCTAAAACTTTATTTACATCCCATGTAAAATGATATTTGGGTAAAGTTGGTCTTGACAAAAAAACACCCTTCATAAAACGTTTAACTAAAATATGATCACTTAATTTCATACTAGAGTGCCCTAAAAGAGACAAAAATGAACTTAACGAGCTTCTTGCCGTATTTAAAGCACTATAACCAAGATTTTTCTTATACAAATCTGTAAGAAATTCTAAAACTAAATTAACATCTGCTTTAAATGGATCACTCTATTTTTCACAACAAAACTGCAACCATTTTTGTTGATAACCCCTATAATGTCTCTTTGTGGATTCCCGCAGAGATCCGCAGATAATATTGACAGTGTCTTCTGGTAACTTTCTACTATACAAGCATTGCCGGACAAACTGAACGCACCCATCTTCATCTTTGTCAAAGGATGTCGTCGTTTTGGATCCTTTGGCAATTTCAAGAGAATCTCTGTTTTTGGAAGAAGATAACACGGACCTGCAACTTGATGCATCAACTGCGGAAACCATGTCTGTGTCTTCCACACTGGAGCTATCAACAGAGCAAACTTCACTTCTTCCTCCTTGATTTTCTTCAAGACACTGCTTATGACACTAAAAGGAGGAAATAGATAACAGTCAATATTTCTCCAAGAGTGTGCAAAAGCATCAACTCCCACAGCATTTGGGTCTGGTGTATATGAATAATATTTCTCTAACTGATGATTGTCCTTAGATGCAAATAAATCTATATCACATTTTCTACAGATTTGTCAGTTTATTAAAAACCACTTCATCTAACTTCCATTCCATGTCTACATTTTTGCGAGATAACGAATCAGCTATAATGTTTGTTGCACCCTGGACATGTTCTGCACTAAGCCATATGTTTCTATCTATACACCAAATCCATAATTCACGAGCTAGTTCATTCAATGTGGAGATCTTGCCCCCTTGCTTGTTAACATATGAAACAGCTACTGAATTGTCCATACAAAGCCTAACGTGGGAGTCTCTAATATTCTCTCCCAACCCTTTTAGAGTATAAAAACCAGCCAAAAGCTCTAAATAGTTAATGTGTGACTCACAAATATTCTTGTCCCATAATCCACTAATTGCTTCACCTGAATCTTCATTAAATCCACCCCATCCAAACTTGGAACTATCACTTTTGAAAAGAAATTTTGGAGAGTTTCTAGTTAATGATTTAAAAGATTTACACACATTTAGGGACCATCAGTTTAGTAATGTCCTACTCTGATGAGAAATAGTCATATGGGCTTCAAAATTACCTCGATTAAGTTTTAAAGCCAAATCTTTTTCAATTTCTACGGTCTTATAATAAAGTCTAGCATATTCTACCCCTGGTTCAGAGGCTACAAACATGCCTACAAGCTGTGCCACCTGTTTTATTGTCACTTCATTCTGATTCAAAACCATATCACAAAAATCCTTAATAGATTGGGCTTTGTCTGGTGTAAGTCTAACAGTCATTGTAACCGAATCTAATAAAAATCCCAAAAAGACAACATTCTGGCTTGCCTAAAACTGAGATTTGTCTGGATGAATGGTAAATCCAAGACTATCCAAGGACTTAACAGTGTCTCTTAAATTAACTTCACATTCATCTTTTGTATTGCCCAATAACAAAACATCATCTATGTAAATAACATTCAAATGACCAAATTTCCTAAGTTCAGAAAAAAACAGGCTTCATGATTTTAGTAAAAATACGTGGAGCACTAGCTAGTCCCATAGGTAAACAAGTGAACTGATATGTTTTACTTTCCCACTTGAATCTAAGATATTGTCTACTACATTCATGAATTTTCACAAAAATAATAAGCATCTTTGACATCAAGTGAACTAAACCAACAATTTGGTTTAATTAAAGATAATGCGGACCTTAAAGTCTCCATCTTGAAATGATGATTGTCAACAAACTCATTTAAATTCTTTAAATTCAGAATTATTCTAAAAGACCCATCTTTCTTGGGACGCAGAAAAATATTTGAATAAAAAGAATTCTCACATAAATTCTCATTCACATGAACTCTTTCCACAATTTTCTTCTTCAAAATTTTTTCTACTTCTCTATGAGCAGCTTCATATTCAATTTCAGAAAATTTTAGTGAATTTGGTACGTGAAATTGAAAAGGTTCATATTTGAATTCTATCTTGTAACCTTTAACAACATCAAGAATCCAACTATCATGAGTCAATCTACACCAATTATGTAAAAAAAAATTGATTTTGCCTGCAGTAAAATTTTCATCTTATACATGTGCATTACAATTTCTGCTGTTATTGCTAGAATATGTGCTTATTTCCTATGGTTTATTTAAATTATGTTTTATACTAACTATGTATACTTTTACTAACTTTTATCTATGTAAAGAGCCATAGCGCATTTGATAGGCATTTTCGCCTACTCTACTAGTGATTTCTTAAATTCATTGTTTATCCAAAATTTTGTCATACAATCTTAGTTTATACATGCGTAAAACCAAACCACACAATAATGATATTTCAATATTAATAGTTCCCTCATATGATAAATAAGAAAATTATCCAGTTTGTATGGAGTGTATAGTAAATATTGAGGTATCCACCTAAAGATGACAAACTGTTGCCAAAGACCACCCTTAACCAGGAGAACAACTTTTGAATAATTTTATTTGGATATGACTGCAGTCCATTACATTTAGATAATTTTGGTTAAAGGTGGTCTTCATATTAAAAATGATGAAAATACATATTCAATTTTTCTTCTCATATAATCGTAGGATTTAGCAGTCTGTCTTAAATTTATCCATTCAACGTCATTGACTTCGTTGGCGCAATGGTATGATTGCTGGAATGTACATCTGGTGATTACGAGTTCGAGCCCCATAATTTTCCAATTTTTTTTTTGTATCTTTTCTATGTTTTTCTTAATTACGTTTTATAAAATACATAATTTCAGAAAGTTATAATAGACGCATTACACTTTGAAAGTATCGCGGTAAAAGACAGTCCTAAACTATTTTATTAAAGTTTGCAATTTCATAGATACCTGATTTAATTTTATCGATTTTCTAAATCTTTTGTCTCAGAATTAGAGTATTGAACAAATTAAATGATTGTCGTTTGACATACTTGCAACTATGAAAATATTACAGTCGTCCTCAAATCATATTACATCGTTTGATCTTGAATTGAAAAGCTATATATATAAATAGAAACAGGTGATTTCCTTTTAAATTCTTGAGTCGGCTATGTCGTCGGAGAGGCAGCTATGGCTCTTCCCTAACAAAAAAATACTATAGTAAACTATAGTTAACTATAGTTTACTATAGTTAACTATAGTAAATCAAAGTTCCAAAGTTTTCACTATAGTAAATCAAAGTTCCAAAGTTTTTACCATAGTAAATCAAAGTTCCAAAGTTTTCACTATAATAAATCAAAGTTCCAAAGTTTTTACTATAGTTAATCAAAGTTCCAAAGTTTTCACTATAGTAAATCAAAGTTCCAAAGTTTTCACTATAGTAAATCAAAGTTCCAAAGTTTTCACTATAGTTAATTAAAGTTTCAAAGTTTTCCCTATACTTAATTAAAGTTTCAAAGTTTTTTCATTACTTTAACAACTTATGTATTTTTATTATTTTTTTTTTATTATTAACCGTTTTAGGGGAGGGGTGGATATGGGGTTGGTTGAGGCTGGTTTTTGTTGTACATCTTTATTTAAAGATACAAAGTAGTTAATTCAAATGCAATATTTACATTTATAAATTTAAAAAAAAAATACATGTTGACTGAAGTTGATGAAGCAGATATTTTGATTCTAAATGACACAATAATATATTATTTTTTCTCCATAAATAAGACTTACGTTACATCTGCATAAGATTAAAATTAAATGCATTGAAATAAATATTGCTTATTTATCGGCGCAAGCGACAACCTTTACATTAAAATTCATATCTTGTACATTATTCTTTTAGGGGAGGGGTCGGGTTTTAAAAATGTTCTCTAAAGCTTTAATGAATCTTAAACTTGAAATATCATAAAATGTAAAGAATGGGAATCATAAACATAATTCCACAGGATTCATCGTACTTAATCAAAGTTTCAAAGTTTTTACTATAGTAAATCAAAGTTCCAAAGTTTTTACTATAGTAAATCAAAGTTCCAAAGTTTTCACCGAAGTAAATCAAAGTTCCAAAGTTTTCACTACAGTAGATCAAAGTTCCAAAGTTTTCACTACAGTAGATCAAAGTTCCAAAGTTTTCACTATAGTAAATCAAAGTTCCAAAGTTTTCACTATAGTAAATCAAAGTTCCAAAGTTTTTACTATAGTAAATCAAAGTTCCAAAGTTTTCACTATAGTAAATCAAAGTTCCAAAGTTTTCACTATAGTAAATCAAAGTTCCAAAGTTTTTACTTTGGTACTATAGTTAACTATAGTTTACTATAGTATTTTTTTTGTTAGGGTTTGTTAAAGTCGGTTAAAGAGCTATCATAGCTCATGTTATTATGTTATATTGTATATATATGCCGACTATAAATAAAATTTACTTTACTTGACTTGACTTGAGGCGTGTTCTTCAATACAAACTGATCTACATTTGTACAAATATTAGACATACCAACATCATGTGTAACTACTGATTTGACTCCCCCTTCTTTTTCTTGCTGAAACTGAACTGTTTGGCCAAAAAATTGCTCTTTCCGGTCCTATGCCTTAGCTTCTTCTCGTAGCTATTGGAGAATTTGGGGATCCTGTATTTCCCACCATAATCTTTGTTCGATATCTTTTGCGCAAGTTTCTTTGCCTCTATAACATTCTTCACTTGACTGCCCAAGTCGTCTCCAAATAAATTTTCTGAAGAGCTCTCTGCGGAACATAAACTAACAAACTGTTTGTTTTTCTCAGGCTGGATAATTTGTTCCCGCCTCTTGTAAGACAAGTTATGGAAAACACATTTCTGAAACTTCAAGATGTCACTACACAGCTGTTTTGCCTTCTTAACATCAACCAACCCTTTTTTCGAGTTGCAATTAATGAGCATATCAAACAGTCTCAATGTCGGAATCATGGCTTTTCCTACAAGATTCTGGGTAGTCTGTAATTTAATGTCACTTGCTCTGTTTTTGGATGACATGTTTTCCCATATGACTTTGTTGACTTTTGGTGCAGAAACATTGTTAATGTTTTTTGGCCTATCATACTTGTTGGAGATTTCTTTAATTTTCTCCGAGTTAGTTTTGGTCATGAACATTTTCTCCATTATCTTTGCCAGTTCAGAACTTAGCGGCTCGCTTGTCTTGTCTTCATCACCGAAAAATTCTGACAGTTCATTAAGAGCAGAGACTTCATCATCATCTGATGAACCATGAAAACTATCGTCTCCCTCAATAAGGAAATTGAGTGCGTCATCGGCATCCGACTTATCTGAATTCTCTTCATCAGATTCATCATCGCTAAGTTCGTGAGAAGGCCGATTACAAACTCACTGAAAACAAGTACTGCACATCGTGATCAACACGTGTTGAACAAAATGTGCAACGCTATAATATTCCCACATGGGAAAAAGCGCAAAAGAACATGTGTTCTGAATACCAATATTGCTAAAATCCACCGGTTACAAAACCAGTGAAAAATTTAATAGATAAAATCCGAAAAGAAGGACCTAACATAACTCGCGTCTGAACTATGAAAAGACACAAACTTCTATGATTACGTGACCTTGAACAGTTGAACTTCATCTCATTTGAGACTGAGGCTCTCAATGGGGAAAAATTCTAGATTTCATTGTCCATCCTGTTACATTGTTTTGTCCTTCCTGTTACCCTGAGTCCTTACTGTTACCAGTGTAGTTTCCTTGTTTAAATTGTCCAGCATCCTGGCATTCAATGATAAATTTTTAGTTTTTTAACAATATACTACAGAAAATTTGAAGAAAATTTTGAAATAAAGAATTAACAGCTCTTTTGATGAAAAAAAAACAGGAAGGACATTAAAGTTTGAATGACTAAGATAAAATGTCAATATTTTTTTTTAAAGAAATATTTTCTTTTCTGCAATGCGATGGATTTTTGTAGTTTAATACTGTATTATTCAAATAAAGTTGAAAAAGTCATAGTTAAACCACTTTCATTTTTCAAAAATATGCCAATAAAAAAAAATGAACTTTTTTGAAAATGACACATACTAGTGTACTCTCAATTTAGTCCACAGGTAAAATTTCATGAATAAACTTAACATATACAGTAACACACCTTTACATACAAACGACTTTTTTAAATCCCCCCCCCCCCCCCTCAGTCTGAAATTTCTGGATCCACCACTGAGAACAGCAGTAGGCCCGTGATTAGTGATGTTTATACTGAAGCATTCTCAGGTAGCGCAGATTCAAGTATCTTCAAATCAAACCGGGCCTAGGGTTGGGCCACAATGGGCGATCAATGTTTTACATAGGGATATATGGGAAATTTCTTTAAAGATTATCTTTTCAAAAACAGCAAAGCAATTATAGTCATATTTATATGGATTGATTGTAGGTACACATTGTCGCCGGTGACAATATGTACAGGACGACAAAATGTACCGTCACGTAGAATAAGAGACACGCAAGTGTGATTCACATGTCAATTACATTCACAAAACTACCCCCTCCCCCCAAAAAAAAAGAAGAAAAAAAAGAAATCTTTAAGCAACAATATCTGTGGGGCGACAATATGTACAGTGAAGGTGAGGCACATAAAATCGCCAGCATATGTACACGTGTAACTTTTCAGCCGGCGACAATATGTACCGATGGACGACAATATGTGCGGTTAGGGTAGGTACATATTGTCGACGACGACAATATGTACAAAACAACAATATGTCCCTTATTTGTTGTTTATGGCCATTGTAGTTTTTCCGCATGAAGTATAAGTCATACAGTATACTGCATGACATATTCGCATTAACGGAAAATGTTTTACCAAATTTAAATGTAAACTTCTCTCCTGCAGTGAACATTTTGATTCATGTGCCAATAAAAACTTTTTTAATTATTCCATTTTATAAAGTTCTAGAAAATAATGAACAATTAAGGACAGCCAAGGAAGATTACTTTGTGAAATTATTTAAACCTAAACTAAATGTAAATTGAACATTATAGCTTAACAGTAGCAGTCTATTTCATTTATATCTATCTATCTCTCTCTCTCTCTCTCTCTCTCTCTCTCTCTCTCTCTCTCTCTCTCTATATATATATATATATATATATATATATATATATATATATACTACGGTCAACGCGGATCCCGTATTTTCCCGCGCCCCCGCGATGGTGTTTTAATCCTTTCCGCGATACACCGTCGCGGTTTTATCATCGCGGTGATCGCGGGGACACGAGATTACCGTGACGGTGTGCTCTACCGTATTTTACTCAATGTGAAGTCGATAATCCTTAATGTCAAAGTAAGGATATTAAATTGTGAATATTTAAGATCTTTTTTTTTAAAATGTGGCTTAAACATATTTAAGTCATAGATGGCATATTTTTTACAAGTTCAGGCTTACTAAAATTAAAAAGGTCTTTCTATTTGTTTTATTGCCTTATATAAAGATAGGACTTTTCTGTAAATTACACAATTTAAATCAATCGCGTTTTATAGATATTAGAAAGAAGATGGGTGAACAAGGCGGGCGAAGTGCCTATAGTGCGACAAACATGAAGTGAAAAATAAAATCTCAATTATATAAAAAATTTCTTTGATATTTCATCTAACATAAAGTATATTTTATGCTAAATCTCTACAATTTACAAAAATCTCACAAAGACTGAAATTATTTGCCTACGAAATAGCATACACACACTAAAGAGGACAAAAAGGATCATTTTCTCACACTTTAACAAAATTTTTCGATATGAGTGGGTCTTCGCTCCATTTTTTTGAAAGTTGATCCTAAAAGTTTGCATAAAAATATACATTTTTTGGTTAACAAAAACATGGAGCAAAGACCCACTATACCTTAAAAGTACACTTTTATGACTAAGCATTCGCATCTTTCCGAGAAATACTTGAAGTCCATTAAGTCAAGGGTCATATCACAAACATGATTTAAATGACATTATTCGTCAGGAGCTGCGTGGCGTAGTGGTTAGCGTGTTAGTCTCAAAACAATATGATACCCCGGATTTTTATTGATAGGGGTTCGAATCCCACGAATACCATTTTATTTTTTTAATAAAAGAATATTTTTTTCCGAGATCTTTTTTCTCAGAAAAGTTTTGTTAATCATAATTTCATAAATTTCAATAATGAGAACTTTATTTTAAATACTTCATTCACAAATTGAATATGATTTTATTAATATCTGAAGCTTTAGGCATTCTGCACGCCTTGTTCACCCATCTTCTTTAAAACAATAACTGATTTATTTTATACCAATCAGACACAGTTTAAAGTCAATTTAACTATAGAAATGTGGGGTTATTCAAGTTCAAAATCGGCGAAAACTTTAATTTGAACTTAAATAACAAATATCATGTTCATCTACACTCAATCTCGTATTTTTATTTTTTAACTCAGATACGCCATATATAGCTTTAAAATTCTAGAAATAATTTATAAAATCTTTTTCTTTCTGTCTAAAGGGTGATATTTGAATGATACTTGGCATTTATTCTATCAAAATATTATCATTGTTGTAGTTTCTAATAAGTAACCTAAATTATATTGTGGAGATCTATAACTCAACATAATTTTTTTTATTGTAGTAAATATCGATTCGATTTATATTACGCCCTTTTTTCATCATAACAGTTTTTTCATACAGTATCACGGCAGTGGGTTTTTTTTTTCGAATTGAAAATTGCAATGTATATATAACTGAAAAAAAAAATGAAAACACATAATTTCACGCCAAAATACCTCTCCCAACATATTCAGATATTATTTATTTACAATAATCCCGAATATTTGAATTAACGATATTGATCACTACCTCATTTGTTAGACTTATGGGCCTGAATGAAAAAATGGATAACAGCTCTGTTCATCATTCTAAAAGATTGTCATTTTTATAAAGCTAAAAGAATTAAATGGTTGCGTTCTCAGCTGATAATTAAGCAGAGAAGTCATGAACTAAATAAGTTGAAACTGACCAAACACGTGTACATGTATTACACAATCACAGCGTGTGCAGTGGGGCGTAGCTTATCCTATCGGTCGCCCACAATAAATTTTTGGGTTCTCGGAAAATTCACGAGATGATCAAGCCCTTTTACGATAACCGTGTTTTCAATCCATAAAAACTGCATGTATTACATGACCATATTTCAGTAGCCGGTCTTGACACCTTGATCACCCATCATACATGTACTGTAGGTTATATCAACTGATCAAACGCAATCCTGAAATCACAAAAATATCGTTATACTCGTATAAAGAATTTTTTTTAAAAAAAATAACAATAAAAGTCTTCTTTTTTATTGGTCGGCGACCTTGAAAAACTTGGGACTGTTAGAGTAATTATTGAAACCAAAGAGAAAGGTTTCACAAAACAGAAACTTTAAAATCATTTAAGGGAGTGGGTGTTAAATTACACACTGTAATTTTGGGTAGAGAAACATGAGGATTAGTTTGTGTGGGAGGGGGTGGGGGTTAAGAATAAAAATCTAAAATAAACGGCGAGGGGACATATCAGGAAACTTGTCTGTATGTTTATGTTTACACTATACAGTATATATTTATTTAATCAACACACTTCATGAATGCCCAAAATATACATAGCATATCTTTAGAAAATAATCAATAAATATGTACAGTACGTCTCATTAAAACCACCCCCCCCCTTTCTCCTATCGTCGTCGATTTTTGAATATGAGATACTTATTCAATCTATTTTTCTATGTAATATTAATGCATAAAACTTGCTGTTTGTTTAAAGCTTTCAAATTCTGGAGGGATTCTGAATGAAATTTCATTTTTCTAATAGTTCCTGAGAAATTTATTTTGTATTGAATCAATGGAAAATGTTGTATAAAATAATTTGCCACTTATAAAATGACAAATTATTTCATAGTTTGCGATGTATTTCAAGTTTTAGGAAGCGGATTCCTATTCAATATGAATGCAAAATTTTGCATGTCCAGGTATGCAATACAGGTAAATCACAACTTTAAGAAATCTAATCTATTGTTGTGCAGACGTATGTGTATATCTATTACATAACACTTCCTGTCTGTGTCAGTGCCGAGGTTCTGACTGTGCGTACTACAAACTCGAACCTAGCCCGGGGACACGTAGAAACTTCTGTCTATTCCAATTGTATTTTATCAGTGTAAAGTAAATTAAATTTCAAAATCGAATGTTGCATATTTGCACATGCTGTAAGATTCTCTGAGCTATTAATAACGTTTTTTGCCTGTAATTGAAGGTAAATAAATTTAAAAAAAAAAAAAAAAAAAAAAAACAACGTAAATTCAGGAAGGGGTATCACATGCATGAAGATAAAGTGTGATGGCCAGAGCATGGGAAGTCAGTCACTAGAAAACAATTAACGAATGAAAACTTAACCTAACTTTGAATCAGATTTAAATTTTTGAATTATCAGTTGATATGGACCGAAAATTAATTCAATTTTTAAATCAAAATAGGGTGAAGCTTGCTATTTACGAATAAACATGTATCTAAAGTAAATTAAAGTTTGAATGATAATATTTATAGACAGGATATATTTTTTAAATCATATTTTACACCCGAATCATAGTTTGTTTGTAATACCTGGATAAATACCGTACAAAGCGCACCAGATTGGAAGTCATGAAAAAGAGTCTAGAATTATAATACATGATGTACGTTCATACGTACTTTCTCAAGTTTAAAATTTTCAAGGAAATTTGA